CTGCAACAAAAGCAAATCATTATGAATTTCTATAACACTAAAACCTAGCTAATGGATCACATATTAGTAAGTGGTTAATGCACATCTTTGTCACCCTGCAGACAAAGTTGGAAAATATATAATAAATATCTCACAGATTGTAACAACACTAACTTTCTAAACTCTGCAAGCCAGAACACGAAAGTGTATGTACTTGCTTCCTAGTAATTTTGATAAGAGGAAGGTTGTGGACTGAAGTTGCAAACAATACAATCCATGAACACTTGCAGCTAACTTCAAAAATAGAATGATATAGACGCGTTGTCACCTCTGAGGACTAAAACGGAATTCCTTACAACCTATGCATATACTGGCTCTCTATAGCCTCCAGACACTGCTATTTGGCGGCAGATAAAGATAAAAGTTTTTTTAATGTTTTTATTGCATATTAAGTTGACAAAGATGTTCTTAGTACATCTGACAGTAATAGACTACTTCACTACGAACGTTTTTGTCCTATAATAGGAAAGCTACCAGTGGATTATCAATTATCGTTCCTAAAAGCTAAGTTACTTTATACATGTTTTGCCTTTCAAACCGGAATACCTAGAACAACGTTGCCAACGTCGTATGTCCTGAGAGAGGCTCCCAGGCAGAGTATAAAGTCGTATGACCAAATAAATATACGCAGTTTTAACAACTTAAAACTGAAGTTTGTAACCGTTGAGTCGTTTGTGAAAGCTCGTGTAATTTCTGATCATATTTACACAATATATTTGTTTAGCCGACTTAATTTTGTTCAACTAGGCGTAATAGCTATGCTAAGATCGATATATAAATCTGTTCAGAAGTTGTGTCTGTAATTCTAATATTTTCTGGAGAGGACTAAATAAAGGGCACTGACTCCAAATTAGTGATTTTTAGAATATTTGTCTGTCTTATACACGATTCACACAAAAAACTGCTGTATTATTGTATATTAGATTTCCATGAAATTTTGTGTGTAGGTAGTAAAACATCCGAAGCAATTTATAGGCTGCTTTTTATCCGATTACGGAACTTCAAAAAGAAAAGAGGCTGCCGTATAGCAACAGAGCGATTCTAAAATGGGAGACGGGCAGCAATATTTTTGTGATAACAATCAAAATAATGTAAAATTGCGATCGCTAAGCCGGCTGCCTAGCTTGTCAGTTAGGGTAAAACACCCAGTAGTCAGCCTTTTAGTGAGGACTAAAATTTGATTCAATTGTATTTTAAATATTGAACACTATGAACAAAAACAATCATTATTTTTAGAAAAGTTGTTTATTAAATTTACTAAAGAAATTAACAAAAAAGGTTATTTATAATAGAATTATATAAAAAATCAGTAGTAAACAAATTATGGCACTTTTCACCAGTAGTCAGCCTCATTTCTCCACAAGTCAGCCATGTCTTACCCTGTAGTCAGCCTCTCACTTATTCTTGCATATTTGACATAAAAATTCTTTATTATATATATTTTCATATATTTCCCCAGCGAATTCAATACAGTTTAAATGATACCATGCAAGGCAATTGTCACATCCAATATTTTTAAGTCATTAATTTCTGTATCGCTAGTCAATTCTTCTTCACAGTTGTTGCATCTTATTCTGTTTATTGTACATGTATTTTTCTTCCTATTTTACTATTTTTCGTAGTCATAGCTTGTATTAATTGCTCTTCTTTGTATTGGTGGATTGGTCTTTTTGAGATTATGGAATTCTAAAACAATTCTAAAAAAAATGATATTCACGCTAAAATAACCGTGCATAAATTCAACCCAAACTAAAAGGCTTTAAGGTACTATTTTATGCAACAAGACTAACGGCTGAGTACTGGATTTGTAGACCCATTAGTCGGCCCCCCGATATGCAATTACATTCGTACGCGGCCGACTACTGGTAAAATACACTTTTCGTCTCATAAGAGTTAAACCGAAAGTAATGGGCAAAATTGGGACTATTCGCTTCGGCAATCTCAACCACATATAAGAAAATCATGAAAAATCCAGTAGTCAGCCACTTAAGGCTGAGTACTGGATTTTTCATGATTTTCTTATATATGATCTACCCTAAAAATTCGAAACCCGGTAGTCGGCCACCTAAATTACAACATATCAATCAAATAAAATGCATTTAATAGTTAACTTTATGACAGAATAATCATTTTAGTGTAAAACAGTACAAGAATCTACCATAAATTACAGCAAATACACCCAAAAACTTAACGAATACTCGAGCGCGTTTCCTTAAGAAAAAAATTGCAAAAGCGATGCGTCTAGTCGTGTCTTTGACAGCAGTGTAAATTAACAAGTATAGCTCACCAACCTGATGAGCTATTGGTTCGTAAGTGTGCATATTAACCAATAAGGAGACATGGATTCAATTAAACGTTATTTTAAAGGTGTAGACAAATGTCAGCACTATTTATAAGGAAATAATGTCTGTAAAGGCTGAGTACTGGCACAAGGCTGACTACCGGGTGTTTTACCCTATGCCAAATATTCTGTGAGGCGATAGAGGAGGTCATCCGACAAAGTGCATATAAAATATTTTTTTAATCGAAAAATTTAGTTACATCCAAGTTGTCATATTATGCGTATAGTATTATGTCCCACTGGTTAATCACATTAATGTTTCAAATTTTCAGGTAGTCTGACTCAGTGACCGGATAATCTCAAACCGGCGTTTATGTAAGCGGCGAGCAAAACCAAAATTCTTTATTGTTCACTATGAAAGTGTATTTTATAAATATCGTTACTGTAAGAAATCATTATATTTAGATAGTGTTACTTAGGTTCCTAATCATTTATATTTTTTCTTTTAAGCTATTGTTGCCACGGTAATAACATAAAAAATAATTAAATTTGCCATTACACGTAAAGGAACCATGAAAACAAACCAAATTTGAAAATGGATTGGATGGATATAAGAGTAAATATTGATGAAATGCCAAGATCTATGGAAGAAGGAACATGCAATGGCGAGCCCAAATAACTTGGGTTAAGGGCATAAACAAAAATATTACACGTAGGGACCCCGATTTAAAATCGTATTTGTAATGTTGAGAGTTTCTCAACTGGGCAGATGCTAAAGAGATGAAATCTCTTTAACCAGTATTTTCAATACATTACTGTATACAGGCCTTTTCAGGATGTGAGGTACCATAGTAGGCAGGCCGGGAAGATGGGCACAAAGCCGATGTCCTGGAGTGATGATGCTATTCATAACCAGCCTGTGGACCTAAGGTTAGCACGTAGAATGAATATATTGCCTAGTCGCTGTCCGGTATCTCTTTTGTTAATTCGATAGTTTTAAATACAGGATTTGAATAATTCCTTACACTCCTAGGTAAACGACTTTTACGCTAATTCACTCTGTGACAAAGTAGCTTCTTCTCTGCTCCATTAAGTTCTAAAAATGGAGGAAGGCTGTGCTTTGCTTATAAAAAAATATTGCTGTGCATAAATGAGAGATATAATATAATGTGATAAGAGATTTCTTATATTTACGCGTTCGCGTTGTAATGTTCATTTTACATTAAATTAAACTAATTTTACATAATTTATCATCGGAAATTAAAAGTTAAAATTAAACGCGTCAAAATCCGTATAATAAGTTTCATTTAAACCACAACAAATATCATATTTTACCAAAGAACTAATTTTACAACTTGCTTTGAGTTATTCCGTTTATCCATCCTAAAAAAATCCACCCTAGGATGGATACTCGGCAACACGTGTTCATCTCGGAATCCATAATATATATTATTTTTCTTCCGATTTTCTCCCTCGCCCATGTACCTACAGTCATTTATAGAAACACGATAAGAACTGGCCCAAGATACTTAGTAGGCATTACCTATAAAAATATATACCTACATACTTCTTGTTTGAAAGGTCAACGCCGAAATAAAAGGAGTATCCCACAGAATTACAAATTCAATGGAATCTTGGCATAAAATAATTTAAAATGAAGTGAAATACAAACATCCAATAGTGACGTTTTTGGAATGCTTGCAAAAAATACCCAAATGTTCGCTGACATATTTGTTGTAGCAAAGAAACTTACAAAACGATTGCAAATGTACATTAAAAGTGTCGAATTTATCAAGGTATCCCACTCAATAATAAAATTAGTGTTGGTAATTGCCTAATTACAGAATTATTTAATATTTTTTATAGAATATGGGGTAAACGAGCATACGGTTCACCTGATGGTAAGTAACTACCGCAGCCCATGAACAACCGCAACACCATTGCAGGTGCGTTGCCGGCCCTTTCGAAAGGAGTAAGCTCTTTTCTTACAGGTCCCCAGGTCGTATCGGTCCGGAAAAATTTATACCTAGGCTCCATTAAAAGTATCGGGAATGGAATATTTCCACTGTTCCTATCATATTAAAATCTTTTTAATTGAAAATCCTTGGTTTTAAAAATAGAATACCATTTATTTATTTAAAAAAAGATTCTCGGTCTTGTCACAAGGTTTTGTCAAACTTGTTTAGTCGTTGAGAAAATGGAATTGACTCGAGAAAATTCAAGAGCGATGATTTATTATTTATTACTTTCGAAGTGGTTTAATACAAAAACAGTGTGTTGACCGGATGATTTCTGCATTTGGTGATGAAGCCCCATCCAAAACCACAATTTATCGTTGGTTTGCTGAATTTCAACGTGGATGTGTCAAGCTCAGTGATGATCCCCGTCAAGGTCGTCCAATAATTGCAGTCACCCAAGAAAACGTTGATGCTGTGCGTAAGCTGATTGCTGAGAGGAAGATCGACTTATGACATACCGTGAAATTCAGGCAACTTTAGAAATTGGCATGAGTCAAATACAAATAATCTTGCATGAACAATTAGGTGTAAAAAAGTAGTTTTCCCGATGGATACCGCATTCGCTCTGTGAAGAGCAAAAAGCGGTTCGCGTTACTTGGTGCGTCAGAACTCTCGAAAGATTCCACGCACGATCCTCAAAAGCTGTATACAACATCGTATCA